ATGTGTGTGTGTGTGTGTGTGTGTGTGTGTGTGTGTGTGTGTGTGTGTGTGTGTGTGTGTGTGTAGCTCAGAGGTAAATTTATAGACGTTTTCATAATGTCTGTATACAGTTCTATTTGGTGTCTGTTTTTGTGAACTCTTTAAATTTTGAATTTGGGTAGGTTTTTTATATATGGGATGATATTTTGTAAAGCCTTTGAGGCTTTAACTATAGTATATTTAACTATAGTTAAATATATTATTTAGGGACAGAAACTTTAAAAGTATATCCCTTAAGAAAAAAATTACAGTAGTATTTTTTTAAATTGGTCATGGGGGCTGAAACCTGGGCTTGGGCACTGTCCCTCAGCTCTTCAGCTCAAGGATAGCACCCTACCACTTGAGCCACAGCACCACTTCCAGCTTTTTTCTGCTTATGTGATGCTGAGGAATTGAACCCAGGACCTCATGCATGTGAGGTAAGCACTCTACCACTGAGCCAACTTCCCAACCCAGTATTTTTAAATATATATTTTTATTGTAAAGATACTGTACAAAGGGGTTACAGTTACAAGAGTATACTTCCTATCAAGCATTGTTACCCCCTCCTTTGTTTTTACCCTATCATCCCTTCCCTCCTAACATCTCCTCAACTTCTTTTAAATGCTTGTGAAAACCACTTTATAATAAATTACACTGGAAAAGGAAAGTTTTAGGTTTATATTTTGACTCATAGTAAATGTTATTTTATAATGTTTTCTCTTTTTTCTAGTTGGCTAGTTCTCTGAATGGAGTTAAAAAATTTTAAAGTATTTAAAAACCTAATAGGACATTAGATGTCTTCTCTCCTTGGTAGGGGGCACCCTTAAGATGAGTCTAAAGCTCTATTCACTTGCTATCCCATAATACTAGATATTTGTATAATCAGTTAACTAGTGACTTCAGTTATCTCTCCATTCCAGATTACACTATTTTTATTACACATACACACAAACATATATATATATGTATATATATAATTACAGCATTCTAGTTTAAATTAAAAAAATATTATAGCACCAGTGGTTATGCTAGTTGATAATCATATATAAAAGAAACTGGTAATTTTGAGTATCTTCGTCCAAAGCAAGCCTTTTTTGCCCAATAACTAAAACAGTTTACTTAGAGATCATATTAGATTCTTAGATTAGAATCTAATAGATTCATACAGTGTGAACAGAAAGAAATGTTTTGCATTTCCATAGTAGAATAAGTGTTGTAATTCTTCTGTGCTGAAGTGGGGAATCAAAAATTATAATACAGGAGACCAGATAGTTCCAAATAGCAAAAGAAACATCAGTATATGTCAGCATTTTCTAAAAACCAGGATTCTTTTTCGTGGAAATAGTCTACACTGGCAGACTAAAAATAATATTTCTGTATTTTTAGGCAAATATTAACTTTAGAAATTACTCTAAATATCCTTTATATATTTTTCAATTTATGTATTAAGTTCCCTCCCATTTCTATGCCTCCCCTATTTCTCTGTGTTTATATTTCTGTCTCTCTCTTTGAGACTTTCTCTCTTATTTTAAAATTATTTTCATTTCAATATTACAGTAGGCTTTAGAAATCATTTAAATAACAACACTTTATTAGTAACTGGGAAATTTTTGCTATTATATATTCTGGAGAGTAACAAACACATGTATCTCTCTTCTCCCTATTAATGAAATTCCTGTACACTATTGTAAAAAAGACCCCTGTCAGAATTAAAAGCTAAGATATTCTTTACTTGCAAAAATGAGAATTATGGAGACATATTTAAACAATTGTCCAAAATTGTCCAAAATTATTGCCCCACTTTTAAAATTTTTTATTGTAAAGGTGAGGTACAGAGGGATTATAGTTTCGTAAGTCAGGTGAGTACATTTCTTTTTGAAGTATCACTCCTTTCCTCATTTTCTCCCAGTTTTTCCCTCCCAGCTCCCCTTCCCCACAAGTTATATAGTTCATTTTCAACATAATGTCTAGTGAGTATCACTGCTGCATTTGTTTACTCTTTGTCCCACCATTTCTGTGTTCCTCCCAACAGAAAAACTTACATACAAGACAAAAGGTATAGAAAACAGCAATAAAGGAGAAAAAACAAACAAACTAAAAGCAAAATAACAAAAACTTCTTGTTTTCATTTCTTGGAATTCATTTTGATAAGCGTCATTTTAATATGATCATATGCTCATAGTTATTGAGTCCTTGTGATCCTCTGCTGAGAATACCTTCCTTTGGTTTCACTGTGTGAATGTCTAGCGTCCTGTATAATTTATCTTGCCCAAGTGTATTTTTTGTCTTTTACCATCCAATGTGTTTATCTATAGATTTATAGGCACATTTCAAGTTACAACAAATGAGCAAAACCATGCAACCTATGTTTCTTTGGGTCTAGCTTTCTCTGCTTAATATAATTTTTTCCCCAAATCTTCCCATTTCCTTATGAATGCTACAATATCATTCTTTCTGATAGAAGCATCGAATTCCATTGAGTATACATACTACATTTTATTATTATTTTTTGGTTGGTCGTGAGGCTTGAACTCTGGGCCTGGGCACTGTCCCTGCACTCTTCAGCTCAAGGCCAGCACTCTACCACTTGAGCTGCAGTGTCACTTCCGGTTTCCTAGTGGCTTATTGGAGATAAGAGTCTCATGGAATTTCCTGTCCAGGCTGGCTTTGAACCGCGATCCTCAGATCTCAGCCTCCTGAGTAGCTAGGATTATAGGTGTGAGCCACCAGCACCCATCTATATACCACATTTTATAGCCCACCTTTTAAAGGACCTTCTTCAAAATCCTTCTTTCTTATGCTTCCACAGTAACATGAAACCTGCTATCTCTTTTTAAATGATGCTGAATGTGAGTGTTTTATGTAAGAGTTGACATGGGTCTAGTCTCTCTCTCTTCCTGATCAACTTGCTTTTGCCTTCTTTCCCAGGAAGTGTGTAGAGAGCTCTGGTGCCTCAGCAAAAGCAACCGCTGTGTTACCAACAGTATTCCCGCCGCGGAGGGGACACTGTGTCAGACCGGGAGTATTGAGAAGGGGGTAAGCGCAAAGGATTTACTAGCTCTTTGACATGTATACTAAACTAACATATTTCTGTCTATAGTCAACCACTAAGAACTATTACTTAAAAATAACACATTTCTAATGCAGTTGTTATATCTGGCAATATGTTATTTATGAATTTACAGGGAATAACATTTTTTCATAGCAGTTTTGTATTTCTGTTGGCATGTGTATAAGCTATGTTTGTACCAGGAAAACTTCAACAACAATCTCATAATCATCTGGTAAATAATTCCTAGGAAAAATTATGTGACCCCCCTAGACAGACTTTATCATCTAAAACCATTTAGTTTTCATTGGCCTAATTTTCAAAATTATTAAAACTGGTTTAAACAGGAGTAGAAATAGAGATAAGTGATCAAGCATTTTCTTAGCATGCATGAAGACCTGAGCTCCATCCTCAGGATCCTAGAGAGAAAAGTAAGAAGTATTCAAATAGATAAGAATAGACATAATCTACTATTCAAATTCTTTAGGAATTGTTATATATGGAAATTTTAGAATTTATTACTATTGAGTGAATTCATAATAATAACTACTACTTGTCATCTGTTCTTAGTTCTGCTTTCTTCGATGTTAAGTAGGCTATTTTCAACAAAGATTACTCTGAATTTCAGCTTGCAATAGGATGTTTAAATAAAAAGAATGAAAGTTTTTGGGCAGCTGTCACAGTGTATTAATCTGTGTTGACGGCTTCATTCAGGACCCATGACCTAGTGCCATGTTGATAGCTTTTCCATGCTGGGTTTGGAAATGTTGGTAAATTGTTCTAAATATAAGAATTGATAGGGTTATTTTAAAAGGATTAAGGCTTTTTTTCTCTCCAGATTTTGTAAGTAGCCAATAAAAATACAGAGATCTTCATGCACTACTAAAAATTCTTTATTTTTTTTCACAAAGTAATAGAAAAATACTAGGAACCACATTCTTGAAACAACAGTGTAGGTTTACTTTGGAATCAACCAATCTTGTCAATGACAAGTAGCAATTTACATCAATCTGTAAAGAAATATACAACTCTAAGGGGGCAAAGTCATGGGGAGAAACTGTTTATTTGTCATTGATTAATTACTATTCTTGTGATCTATTCCTGGTTTTTGTTTTTCTAGAATAATGCTACCACTAGGCCTGATGGTTTTAAAATTACTCTTAAGCAAGCTCAGGTTGAGTCTGTAACTCTATAATACATATACATAAATAGCACAGCTCATGTGAATGATCAGATACAGCATGCCTAGCATGTACAAGACCCTGGTTTTGATTCAAAGCACAACAAAATGTAAAAATCTTAGAGCTCTCCTAGTAGCATTCTATGAATTATGTAATGACTCCAAATAATTAAACTATGAGTAGTGGCTATTGGAGAACACATGACTCAACCTCAACCAGTTATTTATAAGACAAACATATATTTAATATCTGGCTATTTGTATGTGGTAATGAGGCTGTGGAATGTCATATGTTACACCTATCTGCATGGGATAAAGATAATGCATTGTTTGCAAATTACCATTTTTGAGAGATACTCAACTCTCTTAATATTAAAATTAATCATATTTAATGTAAATTTAGAAATGCAGATAGGGGAAAAATGAAGTTATTCACATGCATAAATAAAATATGACGAGAGAGAGAAATTGGACCACACATGATTTCTAAAGATTCACATTCTTAATCTGTGTCAATGGTGATCAACTTTTGATTCCTAATTTTGAGGTGTACAGTACTTGTGATTCCCCATGTTTCTAGGAAGAACTTTTTTTTTTTGTCAGTTGTGGGCTTGAACTCTGGCCTGGGCGCTATCCTTCAGCTCTTAAGATCAAGGCAGTGCTCTATCACTTGAGCCACAGTGCCACTTCCAGTTTTCTGAGTGGTTTATTGGAGATAAGTTTCATGGAGTTTCCTGCTAGGGTTGGCTTTGAACTGCAATCCTCAGATCTCAGCCTCCTGCGTAGCTAGGATTACAGGTGTGAGCCATGGATACCCGGCCTAGGAAGAACTTTTAGACTGACCTTGGACCATGATTGTCCATCTCTGCTTCCCATGTAGCTAGGATCACAACTCCCAGTTTATTTTAACTTTTCATATTAAGTGGGTTTGTTACCTGAAGAAGTTTCTTAGTTGAGTAATCAGAATAAGAAGGTAGTATGGGTAGAGCACTAAGCGAGTTAAGAACATGTGATTGTGTAGCAATTGGTTCAGTATTGGACTCTTTACTTGAAAATGATAGAAAACCAAGAGTTTTGTGGAGATGGAATGAATAAGGTTTGTGTGGTTTTCCTCCTCCTCATCATTACCATTGATTCTCATTTGCTAACCTCTTAGATGGTGATGGGCAGAGACATTTTTGACTGACTGTTTTAACTGATAGCAGAGGGTATCACAGAGAATAGGAATGAGTTTCTGTATCTCTGAGACATGAGTGGAATATCCACAAATTTTTATCTTAAAAATGAGTTTCAAAACTACTCCCATCAGAAGAAACAAGAAGAAACCTACACCCTGTCTAGCCAGCAGAATAAAACCAAAGCTGCACATCATTTTCTGAATAAATCTTTTTTTTAAGGGAGGGGTTAGAAATATTGCTTGAGTGATAGCATAGACATATCCAGAGGATTGGATCCATGATGATCTCGTCAAATTCTGGCTGCAAAAGATATGGGATTCCTGCCCAGGGCACAGTTCCACAAATGTTCCATGTAAGCATGGGAACTGTTCCATGCACATTTAGCAGATGGAGTAAGAAATATGGCCAAAAAATTAAAAACTGATCTTTGCGTGAGTCCTGGGGGGTCTGACATCGCTATTACAGTCATTGGATGTTTGCCTGAATAAGGCATTCAAGGGTTGAATAAGAACCATATGGTCTGAGTGGATGTGCTTAGGGACAGTAGCATTAACCAAAGGAAGAAATTTGATGGCCCCAGACATTGCACTGGTACTGTGTGTCCATGGGTCAGTGTTTTACAAATCAGTCAATAGAATTTTCAGCCAGAGAACTCTCCTTGGATATAGCATCAGCAATAGCCCTTTGGCCAGGAATCAAAGGGTTACCATATTTGATGAAATAGGAAATAAAGATTTAGATTGTAAAAACTTTAGTAGTAGTGTTGGCATTGTCACTGAACAGGAAATTAAGGATAATCAAAACTCAATCGTTGTACTCCCTGTTGATGACCACAAAGAAGGTTTCAAATATTTGGTAGATTGCCAAAAGATTGATATAAGGGCACTGCAAGACCCAATTTGAGCAATAGTCCAGCATTTAGGCTTACATATAAGTGACACAGATTCCTAATGTCTTTGATTGTGAAACATAGAGCTGGATTAGACTAAGATTATCGTATGCCTTTCCCAAACACGGGATACATAAGAGGACATTTTGCAGCGTTAGATCTTAATCCACTTAGGGCAGGATATACAATGTTTTGACTGGATCCTAAACTCTAAACACAGGAAGTAAAAAAATACTAGTTCTTCCAGCTTCTCTAGAAAATTTAAAAGTATGAAATGACAAGTTCAGATTTAGAATTTGGGTTGAAATATAGCTTAAACATTCCCAAACCTGTAGAGCAGAGAGAGAAGGCTTTCAAGATGTTGTGCTTCCGTGAACTCAGCTCTGATGACTTGTGTAGACTCTTCTATATTGAATCACCAGTATTGCTTCTTTTTAAAAAAATTTAGGATTTACTTAGTGATCTCTTATTCCAGATGTTGACTTGACCTAGTCTGATTGTTACCATGTACACCAAAATCAACCTAAAATAATTCAAGTTAAAAAGAAAAAAAAACTTTAAAAATACTTCATATACTCATCTTGGAAATTTCCTTTGTGAGTTTCTGACACATTCCCAAAACTAGATTGCTTAAATAGTATGTCTTGCTCAAAGAAAATCCCCTGAGATAGATCATGATATTTAACAATTCTTCAGAGAATAATATTATTTTCCATGACTACTGTTTCTTATGGAAGTCTTTTAAAGGTTCACTGGAATATGCTATCTTTCAATATAGTGTTTAAAATATTTATTTAGTTTAGGAAGAATGTGAAAAGCAAGAATAAGAATATAAGATTTTATTCTGGGCATGTGATTGTCTCATTTCTTTCACCTTTGTGAGCTTATTAAACACACGTGAATTAGGAGAAGGAAGGCCAATGCATCCAATTTAATTAAATAATTTAGACCTATATAGCATAAGGTATTTAGAGCAATCTAAAGTTACTAAATTGACTAAAACCATTAGTAAAGACTAGAAATAGGTTTGTATATGTATATATAACTTTTCTAGCTTAACAAAATAAAAATATTATGCCTCTGAAAATTGTATGTTTGGAATTTCATGTAAAAACAAAAAAAGGATACAAGTAGATGATACAACACTCTAAAATTTTACCTTTATATGCTTATATGATTTATATACTTCAATTTATTTTTTTTTGGTGCAATGTAGTTATTCTCTTCATTATTTCCACATTATCCATTACATTTTTATATATACTAATTAATGCAAATATGTAAGAAAGTACCTCCAATCATCCAACTCATTTGTATGGATTTCTTAAAGCTCTTTTATTCAGTGAGATCATGTTTTCCTCTGCACCAAGGTATTTACTATCAATGGAAAGAAGTAGCAGAAGTTAGCAGGAAATCCTTTCTTGTAAATATGGAGGGAGAAAAACAAACCAAACAAAACACAAAAGAACACTTTTGCCAGAGATCAAAATTAAACAAGATGTTAGATTTTTAATTTATGTGAAAATTCATCTGCAATACTAATTTTTTAAGGTTGTCTTACTCTAAACTACATTGGAATAAAAACCAAAACGAATTTCCATTTTATAGTTAGGGAAACAAAAGAAAATCAGGTGATTTGCTTTAGGTCCTGAGAAATTGCTAGAATAAAAACTGAAAGTACGTTTTTCTATATAAGATGAAGTTGTTTATTTGCAAACTGGTTAGTTAAAATATTAACAAGCTATTAAACTAATGACTAATCACTTGTTTACTCCTAGAAAATTGATACTTACACTGTGAATTTCTTAGCCATTAGTCTTTGTTACTTAAGTTTTTAATATAATTGTCATACTATAACTCCGTGGGATTTATTAATACAAACATGAATTTATGCATAAAAAGTTCTTCTCACAAGCCATTTATCAAATACTATGCTGTATAGATATTAATGTCAAGAGCTCAGCACCATTTTGCAAAATAAATATTGTTGAATATTTATCTTTTGCTTTAAGAATAAGATTTATATTTTTAATGTTCTTTTTTTTGGGGGGGTCTGGTCGTGGGGTCTGAACTCTGGGCCTGGGCGCTGTCCCTCAGCTCTTCAGCTCAAGGCTAGCTCTTCAGCTCAAGGCTAGCACTCTACCACTTGAGCCACAGCGCCACTTCCGGCATTTTTTCTTTTTGCTTATGTGGTGCTGAGGAATTGAACCCAGGGCCTCAGGCATGCAAGGCAAGCGCTCTACCACTGAGCCACCTTCCCAGCCCCGTTTTTAATGTTCTTAAGGACCTCCTAATTCCTTTCTCTACAGAATATTTTAAAAAGTGAAAATTTCCCTATATATCTGCAGTAGACTTAAGGTATAATCAAGGAAATCTGAAGTAACAGGCAAACATATATAAACCTGAACTTTTTTTTTTTTTTGGTAATACTAAGGATTGAACTCATGGAGCTTACACTCTGCTAGTTGAGTCATGCCTCTAGCCTTGAATTTGACTTTCTCAACCTCTAGAGTCTCACACATTAACCATTTCTAAAAAAATTCTCTGTGATGATAGAAATGTTCTCTGATCTGCTGTATTCAACATAGTAACTATTAGCCACGTGCTGCTATGGTAGCCTTGAAATGTGGCTAGTGGTCCCAGGGAACTGGATTTCTTTCTTTTCATTAAACTAACTATTCCTATGCCAGGCTTTTACATTCTAAGGAGGGGGCCGGGGGAAGACATGCTTTGAATGATAAACAGGATAAAAAGTTCTTCTCACAAGCAGTGCTAAATGTTAAGAGAGAACTGAAACAGAATGACACACTGTTATATCCTGGTATAAAGGGGAGTGGGCTCACAGCAAAGTAGTCTAGGAGCCTTGTTTGTTGAGATGATCCTTGATCTGAGACCGAATGAGAACTCAGCAATATAAAGAACTGGGAGATGGGCATGGTGATATATCCTTTTAATCTGAGGACTCAAGGGGTTGAACCAAAAGGTTCACAACTTTAAGACAGCCTGGGCTATGTGGGTATATCCTGTCTCAAAAAAGATAAAACATCAAAATAAAAAAGGCTGGGGTGTGGTGGCTTAGTGGTAGAGGGGTTGCCTAGTGTGCATGAAAGCTTACATTTCTTTCCATCATTTTCATCATTATAAGGATCAAAATATAAAACAATTATAAAATAAAAATAAAGAGGCAGGTACTACCAAAAGGATTAGAAAATGCAAATACATCGTGAGTAGTTAGGAAACAAGCTTTATGTATTTAAAAAAAAAAGTCAATGTCTGGAACTGTCAGTGCAAAGGAGATTAGGCTGAAGAAAGCAGGTGCTACATCAGTACATCCTGTAAAGCAGGGATAAGGGAAGTAGGAAACACTGAAATATTCTTATCAAAAAAAGTGATATGGTGTGATAAGTGTTTTTTTTTTTGGGGGGTGGTCGGGTCATGGGGCCTGAATTCTGGACCTGAGCGTTGTCCCTCAGCTCTTCAGCTCAAGGCTAGCGCTCTACCACTTGAGCCACAACGCCACTTCCGGCTTTTTTCTTTTTGCTTATGTGGTGCTGAGGAATTGAACCCAGAGCCTCAAGCATGCAAGCAAGCACTCTACCACTGAGCCATCTTCTCTGCCTGTGATAAGTGTTTTAAAAAGATACCTCTATGTGCTGTCTGTAAAATAAGTTCCAACATTAAAAAGGAGACTGAGTAGCAAGGCTAGAAGCTACTCCATTTGCCTGTTGTTTTGGGGTGGTAGCAATGAAGAATGAGAAAAGTGAAAGAATTTCAGATATATCTCGGGGGCAAAAAATCACTAAGTTGGTGATAGAATTAGCATCACGAACTGATTATTTTCTGAGTGCCATATACTGTAGTCGCTTTATATTTTAATTTGTTTAAACTGATACTTGCTCAACTCTAGCCATGCTTCCTATTGTTACACATGTAAGCAAGTGACTTTTTTGTTACTGGGTTGGTTTGTCAAAGTTTAATAATTCAGAAAGTGCACTAATAAAAATGTACAAATTATTGGTTTTAAAGAAGACTTTTATTTTGCCATATTCTGCAAATAAGATTTATCATGCTAGAGTTATGAGCTGATTATGTGATGTCTGCATCTCGATAAATTATTCCTGGCTTTCTACTTAGGTGCAGTATGTGTGGTTTATTGCAGAGAGTAAAGCTGAACAGAATTCCAGTACACATGTTCATGTAGGGCCATACACATGGCTAGTCAGTGGATATAAGGGTTTTTTTGTACCCAGTCCCTAGTGTCTTGGCATTACTTTTATTATGTCTGCAGTGCTCATGTAGATGAAATGCCACAACACATTCTTTTACTATTGTAGCCTCAACCATTTTTTTTTTAAAGAAAGAGCAGTTACCGTCATAAAAATTCCTTACTGGGGAACTTTCCATATTGTGTTATCATTCCATGAGTCTAATAATCATGGAATATAAAGATTTTTTTTAGAAATTACTATGATATAAAAAAAAAGACTTTGAGGTCTGTAGCTAGCTCCATAATGAGAAACATTAAAAGTCTGGAGGAAGAAAAACAAAGAAAAGGCGAAGTGAGGTATTTTTTTTACACTCGTGGTACATGTTAAAGACTTATAAATCATGGCCTACTTAAAGATAATTTACAAGTCACATGCACCTTCACGGAGTCTAATCACAGTTAAAGAACTATCTGTTATCTCTTTGGAGAATACTAATGCCTAAAATTGGTCATTTGCCTGACTCTTAAGTATTTCTGTCCTGACAGCTCTGTCTGCCTGAAATCTAATTCTGTGTTTTCTGTGAAATCTTGCAGTGGTGTTATCAGGGAGATTGTGTTCCTTTTGGCACTTGGCCCCAGAGCGTAGATGGGGGCTGGGGTCCCTGGTCCCTGTGGGGCGAGTGCAGCAGGACCTGCGGGGGCGGCGTCTCCTCATCCTTAAGACACTGTGACAGTCCAGCGTAAGTAGCTAAAGTAAGCCGGAGCCAACAAAAAGACACCGTTGGAAAGGATTCAAAGCTGTGGTTTCACATGTTATCTGTAAAAACGTTTCGTCAGTGAGCCAAAGGCTTGTCTTCAGAACAAGCAATAGGCCCAGGAAAGTGGAGGAGCTTTGTTCGACAAGACTCTTCCTTTCCCCTTATGGTGTAACTAAAAATAAAAATCAGGAAAAAAAGAAACATATTGTGCATCTGCCCTAGATAAGCCAGACTTCTAATCTAGTAATAATCAGATAGATTTCCTCTTCTGAAAACTACTGAATTATGGATGAATCCAGGTCTGGTTTTTGCTACATTACCATTATTCCCAGGAAACCTAAGGTCTTTTCACATGTCACATAAAATTATTACTGCTACATTAGTATTAAAAGGGCCAATGAGAGCACTTCAAGGGTTGAAATGCCTTGATTCGCATCGCAAATCACAATGAAAAGGATACTGCCCATGTGTTAAAATAGTTTCCATTCACATGCCCCCATTAATCATCTTCCCAAGCTGCCACCACTTTTCTCCCCATGACTGTTTTATGCAGGTCAGACTGCTCTTCTCCCACTACTCCTTTCTCCAGCCAGCATCTTCCTGGCATAAGGCCAGGCCCCCCTAGTATTCTTTGCCAGCTCTATTGCATCTCCCTCTCCTCGATGCCCAGTGCAGGTGGACTGTTCTCTAGTGGTACTTTCCTGTACTGCTGGAGATGAAACTCCTTTGCTGTTGTCAGGTGCCATGTTTTTTCTTTTCCTGAATAGTATTGGATACACTATACTACTTAGATGCCTTACCTACCACACCCCTATGATAAAAGAGAATCTATTTTTGTTGTTTTGTTTTTTTAAAGTAGGTCCCCTCCTTTTATTTCCTTCTCCAAATGTCTAATCGCTTATCTCTTTAGCTTAAAAAGTTTACCTTCATATTAGCTGTTTCCATTATGCTATTTTCTGTTGATTATTAATTACTCTAGTATTAACTGAACTTCCTGTTACCCATTCATAAGCTAGCCATTGCTACCACATTCCCACCACCTGTGTTTCTCTGACTGGCCGATTTCTCTTAAGCTGGTTTCAAGCTGAATATTTGCCTTTCCTCCACTAGAGTTAGCGTTCTCTGACATTCAATATAGATTCCAAATTTAGCTTTAATTATCCCATTGATACCAGTAAGCATGATCATATTAAAGCAAGTGCAGAATAATCAATCTGGATTCAACTATAGATTGTCATAAATTAGTATAAAATTATGCTAACCCCAGAGATATAAAGGAATGTTCGAGACCTTTTAAAAGAAGTTAGATAATTTTACCTGCTCAATAACTATGTGTTCTAGGAATAGAATATGACTTTCCCTAATATTTAAATCCTTATAGCTTAGCTTATGTAAATCAGTACTTTGACATTTTACTGTTATAATTTGGATGTGCCATAAAGATTTATATAATACAAAGCCATATGATTTTTTTAAACTTGGGTTTTAAACTTCATGTAATATTTGAAATAAGATGGAAATTCATCTCCATACTGTTTACTTTGAGCTGGAGTTAACTCCAGAAAGTTATGTAATATTCTCTGCTTCCCATCTGGGAGAAAAACAAATTTTACTTCTACTTGGGAAACATATGCATCATCAGATTATTGATTTGTTAAATATGACTGAAATGGCTTTATATTTTAAATAAGTAAAGCTCACTTAGTTTACAGAGTATTGTAGTATGGTAATTAAATTAAATTAACCATATTTTCTTTTAATGTAAATCCTAATAGTAGTTATAAATTACTCAGATAAATATCTTAATTTTATATTCCATAGCCATAATCACTGCTAGGAATTGCCAGTATGATATCATTTTAATAACTGATACAATATCGTATTGGTATTTTCTTAAACTTCATATGATCTCATCAATAAGATATGTACTATCTGTGGGATAGATGTATTCACATGTTAAACAAAATGTTGTTTCAGACCTTCAGGAGGTGGAAAATACTGTCTTGGGGAAAGGAAACGTTATCGCTCCTGCAACACGGATGTAAGTAAAAGAAAACTCTTCTATGAAAAGCTAGCTTACTTCCTCACTAAAACGCTGAAAAATCGAAAATTGTAAGCAGTTCCACCAAATATCTATGTGTGGGAGGGTCATATCTATTTCCTAAATGGTTCATAATAAAGCTGGCCTCAACTCTATTATTTCCATAGTCAAAGAGAATATCCAGCATTAGTTTCCGACAGGTATGGTGAGAGAGACACATACCCTGAATTGGCCAGCCTCAGCACATTTGCTACTTCTCCACCATTATCTTTCCTAAGTCCATCAGGATCTGTTTTACTATACTTCTCTTTGCCACAGCAAGCATGTCAGGACTCCCGCATCATTCTTCTCATCTCTTAGCATCCAATCCCATAAAAACTTTATATGACTCCATATATCGCCTCCTTTGTTTCCCGTGTCTGCCAACTGCTAAAATTCCTCTTTGGTGTCCTCCGGAATTCAGGATCCATCATTGGCAAAAATCTACTGTTTTTTCTGTAGTTTGCAAATAGGGAGCTTCTGTTCTCTTCATTCTCGGTAACTGGGACTCAAAGTGGATGGAGTGTCTTCATGTCTACCTTACTTCAGTCTTCTTTCTTCATATCTAAAACTACAACCTTTAATTTTGTAATGTCAGATTGTTGACCTCTCATTCATCCTCTACAGTCCTACTCCTGTCTTAATTCATTGTGAACTCATAAACATATGGATGATTGTCCCAATATGTTCTTTTCTAGATTTTTTCCACATGCATATAAACAAGCTCCTATCTAAAGAGAAATTACCAATGTATTTCTATTGCTTTACTCTCCTTTGAAAGAAATTTTCCAAAAAACATACTGAATCCAATTTTCTTTTTTTTTTCTTAATTGCTTGTTAGGTTTTTACTTCTATTGTGCTGATTTTTTTTAAAATCAAGTCACAGTTAATTTGTAGTTGCTAAGGCAAATAATTACTTTGGAGTCTTTTATCTTCCTTGTTTTCTCAAATGTTTAGTTGTCTTTTACTCTTCATAATTCTTTGTTGCCCCCCTCTTTCTCTCTCTCTCTCTCTCTCATCTTAATGTTTTACTAACCCAAGACTTGGTCCTTGGCCTTTTTCACATTTTTTTCAACAGTCATTTTCTTGGTGTCTTATCCAGTTTCAGTTCTTTGGATACCAGCAAAAGACACATTGCTATTTCTATCTTCAGACCAGACTTGCTCCATAGATTCTAGGTACATATCTTACTACTTGATTAGACTTTTAATACCCACTGATATGTAAAATGTACCAAATAGTATCTACAAAACAATTCTATAAATCTATTCCTCCATCTGTGTTCTCCATCTCAAATGTCGACCCTCATTTGGCTTAATGTCTCTTCTTAACTTTTTTCTGTCTGGCAGCTGTATCTAAACCCTCCTGAAATCCTATTCATTTTGCTTGCAAAATAAGTCATTAATCTGAGCACTTATCACAACTTCACTACCTCAGATGCTAACTCTGCTCTGAGTTTCTACTATCTTCCATAAGATTGTTTAAAAAAGCCCTTTAAAAATATTGTGGTACTAGGAATCAACACAAGACCTTGCCACATGTAGGGAAAATGTTGTGCTGCTGAGCTACAAACCTATTCCGTTTAATAGCCTCTAATATGAGGGTTTCCTATAACTGCACTTGCCCCTTCCAGTTCTCAATTGAATAGGCAAAGTGAGATGCATTATCTACATTTCAGTGCTGCCTAGCATTTTACCTAAATCCTTAGTCCTTCAAAGGCCTGCAAGATCTGTATAATCTAGCCTTCATTGCTTTTCTGAACTTGTGTCTTATTGTTTTCTTCCTCACAACCAGCCATGCGGACCTTCTTCATTAAACATGACAATTGTGTTCCCAGCTTAGGGTGTTCTCTTTGCCTTTTTTTTTGTTGTTGTTGGTTGTGGGGCTTGAACTCTGGGCCTGGGCGCTATCCCTGTGCTCTTCAGATCAAGGCTAGCACTGTACCACTTCAGCCACAGCGCCACTTCCGGTTTTCTAGTAGTTAATTGGAGATAAGAGTCTCACGGACTTTTCTGCCCAGGCTAGCTTTGAACCATGATCCTCAGATCTCAGCCTCCTCAGTAGCTAGGATTACAGGCATGAGCCACTGGCACCCGGCTCTCTTTGCCTTTTATACCTGTCTCCCATGATATCTAATGGCTAAGTGTATTCTTTCATTTTTACTCAGTTGTTACCTTCTTAATTATGCCTGTCCTGAATACTGCAGTTAAAATTGCAACCTTTTCTTTTCCTACTCTATTTTCCTCTGCTTTCTAATACAGTATACTCTAGTTTATTACATTTCATTCTATGAAAGTAGGATCTTAGACTAGCTTCATATAGCCCAATTATAATGATTTTTTAAAGTTATAAGTATTACTTATTTAGTCACTCAAGAAATAATTGAATATGGCTTCTATTAGCTTGTTAAACGAGTGATAAAGAAATGCACATGCTGGTGGATCCCACCTGTAATCCTAGCTACTCAGTCATCTGAGATCTAGAGGATTTTGATTCAAAGCCAACCAGAACAGAAAAGCCAATGACCAGTGAAAAGTAGGGCTGGATGAGTAGCTGAAGTGGTAGAACACCGGATGAGCCAGTAATCTGAGTGAGTGTGAGGCTCTCAGTTGAAATCCCGGTGCAACCACAAAAGAAAGCGGGATTAAGAAAAATCTCAGCCATTAAGGATTTTATAGTTTCCTGAGAAATCACTGCAGTGCAGAAAATCACAGTAGAGAGGTGATAAGTGATATGCTGGAGTGAATGTGAAATGTTGGAAAACAGAACTGGTGTGTGGGCGAATTAGAGATGTAGAGATTTCTTGCCATAGAAAGCTAAACACCCAAAAGACAAATGGGAGCTGACCAGCAAAAGAGAAAGATGGTGAAAACACTCTAGATGAAAAGAATATTAAGTGCAATGCCTGGATGTTTAAAAGTATAATCTTTTATTTTAAGGCATTAAGAGACCAAGGGAAAAGCGGTGGGTTCAGACTTTCAATGAAAATGGAATAGATGAAGATAAGAGTTCATAGGGAAAAACACAACCACGAAGCTAACTTCAAAGAGCCATGAAAATGAAGGAGCTAGCATAATAAGACAAAAAGAGTCACACAGATAGAAATTGAGATCACAGAGTGGAGTGCATCTGAATTTAAGATATAACAAGTTAGAAAATTCTCAGTGATGACAAATTGGTAGTGTAGTCATGGGGGAGTGCATGTCTAAACTTGGGTGGAGGTGAAGGAGTTGAAAGAACTTCAAAGATTGTGAGATTGTAGGTATATTCCAGGTGAAATAAGACTATAAATTAGTATCAAACTTCTTAATGAGGGCAAGCAAAGTTCATTTATTATATGCAATCGTACTTTAGATGAATGGCATGAATCTCTGAGAGCAATCTATAATAATAGAAGAAGGGAATAACTACTGTGTCAGATTCAGAGGGATGAAACTCAAACTCACCTCTAAATCCCAACCATTTTCATTACTATATAATTGTGGAGGTGGGTACACACATGTAGGCTCTAGTAATATTATATTATTATATACTAGGAATAATGGGATAATGTAGAATAGACAATAGCAAAAGAAAACCCAGATATTTTAGGCTTGTTGCATTATAGTATATTCATGAGCTGAATTAGAAGTCACATTGTAGAATTTACTATTTTTAAGTTGATATTTCTATCTTCATCTTCTCTTTCAGCTTTTAGAAACTATATGGACATTCAATGAAACTGCATTAATGTAACTGAACTATGGATAGACGTAATTAAAATGTTTTCATTAATCTTGACTACCAACTCAGAACTTGAGCAAATTTTTTTTTGTTGGTCATGGGGCTTGAACTCTAGGCCTGGGTGCTCTCCCTGAGCTCTTCAGCTCAAGGCAAGCAATCTACCACTTGAGCCACAATGCCATTTCCACGACTTTTATATTAAAATTTATTTTCCATACTAAGTTAATAAAGTCTGTGCATAATTTATATAAGCTGGAGCCTGCTTCAATAGACAAAATTTTAAAATTTTCCACACACCTAATCTAGACCAGCATTCTGTAATAATGCTTCCTTCAATAATGGAAATATGTATGCTGTCCATTGGGCTAGTAGCTCTAGCCCAATGAGTATTTGAAATGTGGCTAGTGTAATTGAAAAACATATCTTTATAAGTTTAATTTATATTTGAATAGCCATATGTGGCCAGTGGTAATCATTGGATAATATGGAACTAAATAGCTGAGCTATGAAGTTGTCTAATTGATAAATATTTGTATACCAATTTTTTTAAAAAAAACCATCTGGATTCATTAAAAAAAACAACAACAGTTGGCCCTCTGCATGTGTAGGTTCTATGCTGGCAGACCCAACCAACCACTAAGTGTGTATTTTCTTGTTATTAGTTCATAAACCATACATTATAACAACTATTTGCTTTGTGTTGGCATTATAAGCAATCTGGAGACGATTTAAAGTATACAGGAGGTTGTATACATGTTATACGCAAATACTATGCCACTTTATATGAGAAACGTGGGCAGCCACAGATTATGGAATCCATAGCAGAGGAAATGCAGAAAGACTAAAGGCACATTTGAGCATCTGAAGTACATTTGCCCTGACACTATTCAGAGAAAGAGAAGATGTAAACAGCTCCAATGTCTCTTTTTTAGGTATGAGGGAGGTTTCTCTCAGATCTCCTCCTTTGCTCTCTCAAGATTATTTTACTACACACAAAAAAGATTATTTGACTTTATTTTTGCTAGATATTACATGCCTACACTTAAACTCATCATTAGTGAAAGGAATGGGATTACTATAATTGATTTAGACTAATCCTGATTTGTCATAGCAGATGCTATGGCATCTTTCCTAAGTGGTAGATCCCTAGGCAAAATATCCGAGTTGTTATACCAAGAAATCATGGCATGATAGTTACTAGGTAAGCCACAAATATCTTCCTCAAACCTGTCATTTCT